TTTCCTGCCTATGCAGGGGGTCGGACTCGATGATCTATTGAGGTCCCTTCCGACCCTAACATCTATGAATCTATGAATAGCTATCACCCTAACCCAGTGTACAAGCCCCAGAGAAGGCATGGCCTATCTGAAGAAATGACTGAGGAAGATGGTGGTGAGGATGGAGAAAAGTCTCAAGGGGATTCTGTTTGATTTGGGTGGGTGAAGGGAGTGATGGTAAGTTTGTCTTCCCACAGACCAGAAGGTAGGATACTAGGGTGATGGGCACATGGGTCCTATGCTGACAGAAGTCCTCATAACCAGACTTTTGCCACTACTCATTCATGCCTTGTTCCAACTTCTCCTCAAACCATCCTATTGATTTCACTTGGGCTGCACATCGGACTAAGCACTGATCAATGTAAGAGAATCAGAATCTGACACACAAGAAACAATTTAAGTCCTCTCTTAGGAAGGATAAACCACAAATGTGGCCCTGAGTAGATTGTCATTTCAGCCAGTGGACTGACTGATTGCCTTCTCAGATCAGTGTTTTGATATTGAGTATTTTTAAGAAGAGGATAAATTTAGCTCCGTGGAGTTCCATGTACTGGCTTGGTTGCTACCAGTACCCAAACTAGATATTTAGAGCTAGCTTGGATATCTCGCCACTGCACTTCCACCTGCAATAGACTCATACCCCAAGCTAGGTTGGAAGGAAAAATGTAAATAACCCATGCACACTATTAGGGCTTCTAAACTAACTATTGAGTCACAAAAAGACCTAGCTATCATTATAGAAAGCTTGGGGATCATCTCTATGCAGAAAACAAATCCAAACCACTTGTAGGAGGTGCAAGGAATGGGAAGAATAATGCTGAGAATATGTTCATTTAATGATGTAAGTCAATGTAATATCTTCCACTGGGAGTACTGAGCTCCCTTCCATCCCCACTATCTCCAAAAGCATAGAGCAGAAATTGAGTGACTTCTGAGACCAGCAGTGGAAAGGATTGGGGGATTGAATGGAGACTAGGGCTATTTACCTCAGAGAGGAGGCAGATAAGAGAAACATGATGAAAGTAAACTCAGTAATGAACAGCATATTGTCGTGGAAACACACGCAGCATACTTTTGGGTCAGGTCAGCAGAAGCTTTTATTTAAAAGAAACTACAGCTGTAGGGGGGGATTCCAAAGTGACATGGATCTCCCAAGCACTTGGAAGGGGTCCCCCCACAAGAGCAAAATCAGGAGGCTTATATACTTTTTAACAGTTGCTTACAACTCACGTGATCATATAGTGAAATTAGCATGAAAAGCGGCTATAATATTATTTCATTATTTCTTTGCTGTAATCAGGATGGGAACTAATGGGGGAGGCGAGGTTAGTTCACAAACCTCCTTCTTGCACCTGCAAATCAGAGTTGTACATACTTTTTGCTATCTTCAAGGCCGCGGTGAGCGAAGCAGTTGCAGAGGAGTTACAAAGAACAAACACTTTCTCTTATCTGTTTTACTATACAGAGCCAGCAATTCTCCACAAAGCGGTTATGTCATCTTATAACTAAAATAGTCAAAGTTTAAGGCATATATTTTTTCTGATTCCACAGTTCCCCCCCCTTTGAGACTATTTAGTCTCACTTTAGCCTTAAATTTTTATTCTCATGAGCCCCTCTATTTCATCATGCAGCCTTTCATGTTTTTTTTAATCTTGCTCACACTTTTGTAACACCATTATTCTAGACTCTGCTGTGGGTTTTCTTGCCTTGCTAAAGCTTCTCCTGCTGGCTTTCACGCAGCAGAGGATCAGTTGCACTAAGACATAAAACATTATCAGAACTATCAAGACAAACAATATTCCATACAGGATTTTCTTGCCAAGGGCCCCGGAATCTGGGAGCCAGGAGGTTAGCCAAGACCACATTTCTTTTAGACCCCAGTCAGTATTTTCTGAGGCCACCTGATGTAAGACCCTTAACTGACTTCGGATTTTACGAATGTCAGTTTCAATTCGCATGTCCTGATTGACATAGACACAACAGGTGGAGTTTACTAAGGCACATACTCCTCCCTGGGATACCAATAGGTAATCTAGGGCTACGCGGTGTTGTATAGTTACTTGTGAGATCTGGGAGATCTCTTCTTGCAGAGCCTGAATTGCATCCGCAGTGGCATTTCCCATAGCTTCCATTGTGGCTGAAATGTTAATTATGGCTAGTTCCAATTCTCTTACTCCAAGCCACGGTATGAAGGTTCTCACAAATTGATGGAACCCTGTGTTTCTGGTAGCTAAGGGGTTAACCGCCCTTTTCATGTGATGGTTGAAATTTTTTACTTGTTCCAGATATATTGTACTATGCATTTCAAAACCAGGGATAACACGTCCAAGAGTGCATGCCCCCACCCAATTCCAGGGCAAGATTTTATGAGCCCTGTTTCCGCAGAGCCAGTAAAGGCCTGGGGCAGAAAGGGTACTCAAATCTCGACAGGTGTTGTGCCATATCCGGCACTTTCGATTAATATGCATCGTATAGGACGGACCACGTTCAGCTGTTATCCTGCTGGACCGAGATATATTACAAGAAGTAAAATTGGAGTCAATGTAAAATTCCGATCTGTTTGCAATGAGAGCAACATGAGGTTCCTTAGAAAAGTTGTAGACCATGAATCCTGTACAATTGAGAGAGGGTACATTACCCAACAGGATTCCACTGGTGCTATTGGGGCTATAATCTAGAGTAGTTAGGCAATGAGGGTAGTGTCCTACAGGTGTGGCTTTATTATAAGCTCCGGTGTTGTTGGATCTGTAACAGAAAGGCGCCTCTACTCTTGGGGAGATTATCCAGTTAGCAGGGGCGGCCCTCCATTCTTTAGGAGCGGACCGATGGGCAGCTAACGAGTAGTGTCTAACGAAGCCGCCGTTTATTGTTCCCCATTGCCGGAGGGATATTGGTACTCCGATCATTGGGATTCCTTGTTGTAGGTGCGCTGGGCTGTGAGAGCATATCCAGCAGTCACTTTTATTTCCAGCTTGAGCCACCGTACGGGAGATCTGCAAGTACAAATTTTTCTCCCACCCCCCTTGGGTGATACTGAGATACCCAAGTGTGATATATAAGGATATCAGTGCCATTTTTAGATACAGGAGGGACAAAGAATTTTAACAACAAACATAACCAGCACCAGTAAGAAAAAGAACACTATCAGCC